ATAAAAAAATCGACACAAAGCTTTAAAAGATTATCTTCAGCGGTATGTTTTGCTCGTGATTGCGCTAGAGTAGTTATGATCAGAGAAAGCTTTTACTCTAGCGCTTCCTCATAAAATCTATAGAAATTTTTAAAGCTTCTTCCGTAGAATATGTTTTAATTGTGATTGCACTTGATCAGTCAGTCAGACGCGGAGCAGCTTTCTGAAGCTTTCTATATACATTTTAAATTGACCTTTGGCGCTTTAGCCAAATGAACTGCTTGGGAAATTATTCTTTTGATACCTCAGTTAAACTAATACGCAGCAAAAGATGTTTGGGAAAATCTAGCACCGTTATAAGGGTACGCATCGGAGGATATGAATTTCTCTGAGGGTAGTTATTAGTATATATTCTGTACGTAAATATGTACTCTTATACTTTTCTTAATTGCAGTTGTTAAAACAGCATTTTTAATACAAACATATATTATAAGTATATTTACTCTCTACTAAATACCTAGTAGATTAAATGAATTGGAAAAACAAAAAAATAACCGCTTTTGATATGAGTATGCGTTCATAGCAGGCTTATGCAGTTGCGATAATCAGAGTTAGCATTTTATTAGCTGGTGTTATAAAATTATAAGTGCAAGTAAGTACATATGCAGGTACAAACAACTGACGTTTACATAGTATGTGCTATGAGAATAAAACACCGCAGAGCTAATATTCGCGGCTAAATTCGTACTTAGAGAATTCTTTTAATACATATGTATGTACATATGCACATTAGGGTGGTCCAAAAATGCCTGTGAAAAAGCAAAGTCAGAATTTGTTCTATATCGAAAAAATTATACCCCTGTTTTTTTTTAAATAAAAAAATTTTTAGAGGTCGCTTAAAGCGCTCAAAATTTGCATGTATTTTATATGAGGAAAAACAATTTTTCGTAGAAATGGTATACAAATTAGGAATATCAATTAACATAAATCTGTCGAACCGTTTTAGAATCTCAAAACATGCGCTTTACAATTAAAAGCTAAGCGTCACAAAACATTTCGTCTTTAGGGCCAGTTCTCCACCTTGAGCAAGCTGGAATCGATGTAGTCCGTGACTGAGCTACTGCTCTTTGGGATCCGGATCTCTGGGATCAGGACGATGAGGTATAAGCTGATGGCGCAGAGGCAAGTAGGTACATGAAGAACTTGCATGCTCATCAGAAGTGAACTAAAAACGTTTATGTGCCTCGAGAGTTCTCGACGCTCACTTTTTCTTAGGCCATTTGTATATTCAGATCACACTGGTCCTAAAGGCATTAGTAGGGCACTTCGCTGCCCTAAGAAGCTGCCATTAAAGAAGCAGCCGATCGGTTGCGAACTTGTGTAATACCGTCAAGAGAGATATACGTATGAATATCTACTCTGACAGCCAAGCGTTGATAAGAGCCTGCGGATAGCTAAAGGTAAAATCAAAACTTGTCCGGGACTGCATCTATTAACTTGCATCGAATAACTTGCGCAACAGACTGATTTGTGTTTCGGGGCACAGCGAAATTGCAGGAAACTTCTGTACCGATAATCTGGCCAGGCGGGACATCTTAGAAGTCATCACCAAGCAAAGTTGCAAGGTTATTTTGGCCGTTAGTTGATCGTGGGCGGTCTAGGAAACTTCTCCAGCTTACACAGCAACAACTCTCAGCTTTCGTGGGAGTTCTGACTGGGCAGTGCTCAATACGAATTCATGCGGTACGTCTTAACATTGCTGCGGACCCGATGTGCCACAGCTATCTAAAGTACGATGAGGTGGAATCATCTCAGCACTCCCTTCTCAGCTTCCCTGCCTCTGCGAGGCCCAGGTTTAACCATCTAACATTCAAATGTTACAATTTTGTTTAACACAAAAATATCAAGAACAAATAAAAAAGTTGCCGTTACCTTTTCGCAGCTAAAATGCCACAAAAGAATACTCAAATGTACGTACATATATACATGTAAACTGAAAAAACATTATGCACATTCAATGGTGCTTACCCTTTTTTGCTTCCTGACTTAAAACACCTTAGGCAGCTTGTCGCATATCTGCAGCGATTTTCTGCCCCCTCCTTTGTATCACCTCATATGCATAACCAATCTGCATTTCTGCTTTTATCTTTCGCACCCACTCACCTCTTTGATACCGGCGCTCGTAGGGATAACAATTTCAGCACCTTTAAATCCTTACCGCAGCTTGCAGGGCTGCAGGCACTTGACAAATGCAAATGCAAATTCAAGTTCAAATGTATACATTTCCGCTGCTCGGCAAACAGATTTAGAACTCACAAACTAAATACATTACAACAGAACATGGCTGGGAAAGTGAAAGTATTTAAATAAAGCCCTTTATAGAGAGGAAAATGTTAACTTAAGCAAAAATTTTGATATGTGATAAAATGAAAATATTGAAGGTATGTACGTACAAACATACATATGTTTGTAGTTCTTTTGGTAATTTACATCATTAATTTTGGCAATATCTAGTTGATGATCTATCAATGTACACTTACACTCATATACGTGTGTATTTCCCAACTATGCACGCGATTTTATACTTTTTATGGTGTTGATAACCTCCTACTTTTGATACCGTTGTGAAATTTCTAACAAAAAATAAATAAAAGACATTAAAAATCAAATTAATGTTAATTTCAACAACAGAAAACTAAACTGGTTCAGTGGTTTTATGGTATATTTTTACATGCACTTTGCATTTAAAATTTCAGAAGCAAAAATGTCCTTTTTACCTTCGTGTAGAATTATATACTGAAGTACATACATACATTCCCATTTAAGTGTATAAACGATAAAAAGCGTATATTAATTCTTTAACCGACTTTCGGTTATCCCAGTGACTTAAAGAATTTTTAGCTTCATTTATATAATAAATATGGGCAATCAGGTGCAGCTGGAAGTGGGCATCTGTCGTGGAGTGGCACGCTACAGAAACGTGTACTCAAAACACTCTCCAGCTGCTGATCGTGCGCTGGGTTAGGGATCCGCCACGTTAAACATAATTCCAAAGAAAAGCATGGTAAGTATGGTTAGGCTGGGGTAATTTGAGGTGGCTGCCAGTGAACCCACCAACACTCCTAGGTCCGTAATTATGAGCCCGTTGTGATATCAAACCTATGTATATATTCAAATCATCGTGTTTAGTCTGTGAAACCGAATAGTTGTCGTATGCCCGCCTTAGCTCTGTCGAAAAATTCTGAATCCATGAACTTTCTTCTTCTATCACAGATATGGGCATTCGCATAACAGATGCCGCAAGGTTTCTGACTCTTCTTCATTTCTGCAGAAGTCGTAATAGGAAGCCCCAATCTTCTGTGTGCCTTCCAATGGCAACATGACCGGTTAGCAGAACAATGGTTATGGCTAAGTTCCTTCTACGTAGCATGGGAGACTTTTCGACCGCTTGACATTCCATTTCGGTCAAATGAGTTTCAGCTTGTTGCAAGTGGTAAGACTTGTCCAGTAAGATCCTTTAGAATGAGCTTGCAGGTAGCCAGCGGCATGCCTAAACAATTCCAAGACATCGAATGGGGGCGAATATACCATCTCTTGCAGCAATTCATCCACATTATCATTGTCTGGTATGTAAATATGTATGTTAGAATAGAAGTAAAGGCACTCCAATTAGCCAGAGCATTTTGTCTGACTGCACTTTGGCCTGCCTGTAGTTTACCATAAAGATCTAGATAAAGTGAAGAGATCTTGCTTTTTTTGTCTTAGGGCTTATTTTTATTAATGAGAAACACGTCTATATCTCACACGTGAAGTGATTAAATTAAAAAGTGGAAAATAAATTTGAGTTTTTTGAGTGAAAGACATGATTTTTATTTTTTAAAAACTTTTATTATGTTTTTACAAGCTTTTATTATGTTTCACCTGTGTGTAATCAAATATTGGAATCAATTTTTAACTAACTTCCCGATAAGCTAGAGACTTGAAGCTTTAAACAGAGCCCAGACCCCGATGACAATGCAATGTGAAAGAAAAATTAATCCGCTAGGTGGCGCGGGTGTCGAGATATTTGAAAACCCCGTATATATGGACCGATATGGTTCATATTTCGATTATAAATATACCCGGTAGGTGGCGCAGGAGTCCAGATATTTGGGAAAGCCGTATTTATGGTCCAATTCGTTTCATATTTTGAACGTATATTAATTAAAAGGAAAGAAATAACTTCACAAAAAATTTTGCCGTTGGGTGGGGCGGGGTCGCTATTTTTTATTAACCACTAATAAAAGCTTGTCTTTTATAAATTTTTTTCAACGAAAGATGAGGTTTTTTATTATATAAAGACAAAAAGATGGAAAAGTGGGCCTACAATATTTAAGCTTAGAAATATAGAGCTTTTTACTGGACAGACCGTTGCAACCTATTTAACGCTACCAGTAGCCATACATAGTTCCCGCGGTAGTACGCAACGCTACTCCCAGTACAAAACTCCAATTTTCTAAGCTTAAATAAACATTGTTGGCCCACTTTTTCATCTATATGTCTTTTTAGCAAAAAAAAAAACTCAGCTATCCTTAAAAAAGCGTTCACGTCACCCAAAAAATTCAAATTTATTTTTCACCTAAATTTTTTTAGGGCACTAAAATTTCCTTTCAAAAAATTCATACTACCAATCGAAAGGGCATGAAAAAATCTATCGAAGCTGATATTAATTTTTTTAATATAGTTATTCTCATTTCATTTTATTTATTAAGAAAAAAAAACTTACAAACTTACACCCCTCCCTCTCGAAAAATATTTTGCCAAAAATGCCATCTATCAGTACCACTAATGCTTGCAGTTTAGGTGGAATAGGAGAAACAATTTACTTTGATCACTTCACGTGGAATCGCTCATGTGCGCATTATAAATAAAGTCATGTCCTACTTTAATATTGTAATTAAATATCTTTTTAGAGTATTTCGTAAAACAAGTACTATCGATTTACAGAAACCAGCTTTTACACCTTCGTCTTCACATTGAATTCACTCTATAAATCCTTCTGCCAAAGTACTCCTCCAAAAACCAATCGTATTATGACGCTGATGATCCAACAAATATTTAATACCTAACTCCAATACTAATAGCACTAAACATAGTGCAAATGAGAAAAGTAGCATTAGAAATAGTGGAGCCGTGTACTGCATGCCAACAGCGAAGAGATAATTGCCTGGCACGCAATTTAGCTTTTCCTTAACCCAATAGCGACGATGTTTGCGCCAAACGCCTGTCTCCATCATGCGAGATACCCTAAAGGAAAAGAAAAATACGAAGTTTTATAAATTCACCACACTCAAAATGAAAATGATACCTCAAGCGTGTCAATTCCTTATAGGTTGAATTTTTGTGCAGCTGAGTAAACAAACCGCGATCTGGACGTAGCAAAACCTCGTTCAAATCACAAATCTCATGGGGTAAGAAACTCCGTTCCAAAAACGGGTAACTTGTCGAAGTTTCGAGTACGTAAACAAAGCCGGGATCGTCGCGCACGCGTAAAATACCTTCTTCCACAGGAATCCAAACCTTTTCGGGATGCGGCTTGGACGCGATTTTACGATAGACAAAACGACGTACTTCGGGCAATTGAGAGGCCTGGTAATTAAAGAAAAAATTGTTATTAACGAGAGTAACTCAGTGCGTAAGAAGTCTACGAACATTCAAGTACACAAAAGTAAAGGGCAATGGATCCAGTCCAACCTCCAAGGAACTATCAGCTAACTGACCGAGCGTCTTGATATCAGACTTTACCGGCGTACCGAGCAGCGTTGAAAGCAAAGTTGATGTATAATAATTATACATAATAAACGTTGCAAAATAGAGTGAAAAATAGGCCAATCGCCCACCCAACGAAAAGGGCACAATATTGCTACCCTGATAACAGGCCGAACCGAAAGCCAGTAGGGTGGTCGCCAATAGTGAAGGTTCATAAGGCATACGTTGACGGAAATTGCGTGACTCCAAAGCAAAGGTACGCCAAAGAAAAATCGCCAGTAAACCCAGTATGATGCTGAAAACAACCCATACCGAGGTGTCGAAAGGTTGTAGAAAGGCTTCACCTCTAATGCTGGTACTGCGTGGTGTGCGAAAGAGACAAAGTTGTCGATAAGCACCTGTTACGGCCATAAGCGAGAGATACTTCTGACGCGGCTTAGTGCTGAGGAAAGGTGAGGATACAAAGTCGGCGTCCTTGGTGATCATGTCACCTATTATGCCACCATGCGTTTCATTCATGCTCCAGCGGTCGCGAAAGGTGTGCTCCATGCTGTTGTAAATGAGAGAGGGAGAGAAAAAGAGGAGAGAAAAAAGGTAAATGGCAGGAGAAAAGATAAAATAAGGCGAACTTTGCTGCAGTGAAAACAGTGGAAATATATATTTAATTAGAATATATTATTTACTTAAATATGTACATTAGAGTGGTTCAAGTTTTGTATGGGAGAAAAACTGTCATCGTAGAAATCGGGGCACCCTCTCAGGTTTTTCCTCTGGTATTTGTAACATCTATACGAACTTTTAATTTGCTACTGTAACCAATTCAGGGGACCTTGAAATGCGCCACTGCATCCCTTTGAAACTGACAAAAATATTGGCGATTTTTTATAAAAAGCTACTGTAGCAATGAAAACTGAAGCGTGTTATATTTTTTTCAGCTAATCTAAATTTGAAATACTCTTAGGTTGCTTAGGCAATTGTTTTTTTTTGATAATTTGTGTACAAAATACTTCAAGAGCAAAATATGAAAATTTCATGAGCGTCCTCTACATTTATACTTAGAGGCGTAAAGTTTAGTGTCAGCACCTATTTCGGCAAGAGGAAAAATTTTGGAAGGCGCTCCGAAGCCTATCTCGGAAAACAATTTTGTGGACCACCTTAATGTACAAAAGTGGAAACCCTACTACGGCATTTTGTATTTATTTAAATTTTTTACAAGCCAATTCGTTTTTGTTGCCATCATTAACTTGTTATCATATTTTTATCTTTTAAAGGTGGCAACCCCTTAACAAAATTTTGCATTTTAATTAAGTTTTCACTTATATTAATTTTGCCATATTTTTTTTTTAACTCATCAATTGAATTCGTTTTAATTTTGTTTGCTCATACATATGTATGTACATACGTAGGTGGCAACTCTGTTTAAAAGTATGTACTTTTAAAACAAAGTGTTTTAAATTAATTTTCTCAAATATCCATAGTGAAATGTCTCACATCATTTAAATTAAACATTTTTTAAACTTTTATATGTGCGTATATGGCAACCCTATTGATGTTTTTTTTTATTTAATTGTTTTGAAACAAATTTAGACTTTTTTGATGCCATACCAAAATATTACGCCTCTATTACACATTTTATTCACTTAAATTTTATTAAAATACGTGGCATCGCTATTTCAATTTATTTTTGAATTAAAGTTTTTATTCGATATCAATATCATAAAAATATGTCACCCCAATTTGATTGACTTTACCTTTTAAAAAGTTCGAAACTCTTATAAATTACTTTATCTACCTTAAACTTTACTTACTTGCAACCGAAGAGATCCTTGAAGATCAACAACACTCTGAAGCCAAAACGCGAGATTGCATCGATTTCCGTATTGTTTTCTGAGTTTAGAAACTCCAAGAGTAGAGGCGGTGGTAAACTGAGTGGCCTTTTAGTGACCTGAAAAAATACCAAATATCCAGTATTTACTTACCTAACTCTTCTCCTCTCTGCTCAGCCTACTTACCACAGTCGACACCCGCATTGTTATATCGTGCAACCGAAGTCGATTGCTATATTTCGATCGCAAATGCAAATCTGAAAGATAACGCCGCACATGGCAATCCTGCAAATTGCATTGAATCTCGCGATCAACAGTTACATTCAGTTTACCACCTAAGGCGTAGCCATTGTTATAGACATCATAAGTTATATAGCAGGTTGTATTCGTAACAGTATTGGCGTCCATAAGAGCTGGCTTCAGTCTGACATAAGTGAGCTCTGCATCTACAGAGAGGCTGGCATTCACAAAGAGGCGTTTGAAGTTGTGCATATCAGCTGTACGATCGTAGAGCAACCAGTTATAGTGCTGATTATAGAGACTCCAGCGGCTAAGCTGAAGAGCGTAAAAAAAGAAACATTTATCTTGAGTAGGCCGAGAAAAAACTTTAAGCCCTCAGGCGTAGATGTCAAACGTGCTTAAACCTATAATGGGAATTAAGGATGGGTCGAAAAGGTGTATAAACCAACAGATCAGTCAAGGAGGTGCAGTAATCCAGTTATATAATCAGTGTCCTCTCCATGGGCTGGAGTGCATGGTAAACGGGTATCGAGGAGAATACTAAGCGACCAAGAGTTGCTTATTTTGACGTGCAAATTTCTTATTATGAATTACCTTAGGATTTTTTTGGGGGCTGAAACTTACTGTGTTCATTACGGCGTCCGATTTATTACAGTTCATATCTAAGTAGGCTCCCAAAATGGATCGGCTATGCAGCAAATAGCGATGTTCAAAATCACCAAATAAATCCATTGATTCGATATTTACAAAGCGCGTATACCACATTCTCTCGTTAGTCATATGAATAAAATGTTGCTGGGCTGGAAAAGTTATTTGCAAAAACAAATCAGTATAAAATTTCAAATTTCTTTTATATATAGAAGAACTCCACGAGCATTTCAAAGTCTAAGCGGCAGAAGTTATGGCTACTATTTTTTGGATCACCCACCACATCTCCTCGACAGAATTACATCCCAGCCAGCCAAATGCGGAGTGCTGCAAATATGGAGTGAAAAGGGACTCCCACAGCAGCTCCGCGAAGAAGCGTTTTTGGGGGCGCTCCACAGTGTTTCGACTACATACATATATGGAGGCAGGCGGAAATAATAGTTAACCTGCACCGATTTCGCTGAAACTTGACATGTACTCTAATTTGACTTAGGAATAAGGAATTATGAAATTTGGTAAAGATGGAATAACTGCCACGCCCTCCACTTATATGGGCGGAAAAATTAAATTTCATCCGATTTCAATGAAATTTTGGTTGTACTCTCTCTTTTATTGTAAAACCCCAAATATAAAATATGGGAAGGATTGGATCACTATAACGTCCAAAACTCATAAAAAATGTGGTCCCAGTCATTAAATGTGATGGAATTTTGAGTTATTCTTGTTTCCTGCATTCCACTCTCAGAAACTAAAGATTGTATTTAAAAATTACATAGGTGTAAATACTCTCTTTTCTGCCAATGATATGAAACTTTGTATTTATGACTTTTACTTTTCCCTCTCTAAGCGCAACCGGTTTTTTTTTTAATCAAATGTCACCATGACCTTTTTCCACCTGCTTCCGTATAAATAGTCGAAATAGTGCACTACAATTATGGAATGAACTGAAGTCGTATTTTTTTCGTGGTACCTACATATGTATTCCGTAATATTGTCAATGCCATAGACCGAAAAAAATTTAATTAAATATAATTTAATTGAAGAAATAAGTGTGCTCTTAAAAGCGATCGAAAGGTCGCAAAAAAATAATCCAATATTCCTGAAAAATCTCCCTTATGTAACGTCCATATTAAAAACGTCTAAAAAGAAGGCAACCTTTTTAAAGAATATCTTCGTAAAAAAAATTGTTCTTAAACCCCTTTATTTGGACAACCACTTTGCTACAATATTTTATTTAACTTATTAATTTATTTTTTTAACCTTTGAAAAAGATGGCAACTCTCTTTAATAAATATCCTTTATGCTATCCCAGGTTATGACCTATCTGTGTGCCAAATTTCATTCAAATCCGTTTAGCCGTTTAAGCGTGAAAGAGCAACAAACATACTCACAAACTCGCCCACTCACAAACTTTCACATTTATAATATCAGTAGTATAAATAAAATAAGGGCATTTTAAGAAACCGTAAAGCCGCCTTTTCGGGTCCTAATTATGCAACTTGCGGAGTGCCGCTGGTTGGCTGGGACAAGTGTTTACGCGGTATGCTTAGGCCAGCGCGGTTACTTTTAGATCGAGAAAGGCCGCTTTTGATTTCATTTGGTCTACATACATAAACTCGTAATTTCTACGGCTAAGTCTTTCTTGATTTTTACAAAATTTCCCAAAAACCAATAGCTAGCGGCATAAATCTCAATAATATTCCTAATACGAGTACAAATATTTAGTTATTACGACAAAGTAGAAACAAAAAACAAAATTTTATTGTTCTACATATCGACTGCTGAGTGGAAGATCAACCTATCTCGGCAGCCAATTCGAAAACGTCCTATCTCAAAAAACTTTTCAAGAACGCCCTATTTCAGAATTCGTTTCAAAAACGCCATATCTCAGCTGCCGATTCAAAAGCGCATCACACACAGCACATTTTCAATACATTTGGAAGTTAGATAGAGCATTTTTGAACCGAATTCAGAGATAGGATGTTTTTCTATACAATTCTGAAATAGGGCGTTCTTGAAAAGTTTTTTCAGATAGGAAGTTTTCGAACTGGCTGCCGTGATAGGTCGATCTTCCACTCAGCAGTCGGTATGTGAAATTCCATCGAGCGTTTACTACAGTTCCTAACATTTCAATAGAATTAGAAATTTTTCATGGCATTCCTCAAGTCTTTCAAGGGTTCGGATTGGTATTTTTTCCGGAACAGAGTATCTATGTATAAGTGCTTAATTTTACTCACTTTGCAAACTCCAACAATTGAAAAATACAATTGCATTAATATTTGCATTCCAGAAATGATGTAAAATAAAATTGAATAACAATTGATTCATTATTGTAATAAAAATCCACTGGTAAAACTTTGATTTATTTTAAAACTATGTCTAAAGGCAAGTGTATTTATATTAGCCTGGAAGCACGAAAAGGCTTGTATATATATATATATATATGTACTCCTTTTGCTTATTCCTCAAGGTTAAATGTAATGATTGTACTTACGCAAATAAAACGCATAATCACTCAATCAATGGCAATTAAATGGGCTTTAAAGTCATAGCAAATGGCAATGTTTACATTACGTTATTTACTCTGACAGTAATTGATATCTTTATTACGCGTTATACATGATAGTTATTTTATTATACTTATTTAGCAAAAAAATTAGACAATTTTAAACCACAATGAACTAGTTAACTTTGAGGGAGTACTGACTCTCATTCTTTTGATTTTTTTCATCAGGCCGTTTCTTATAATGTGCTTTTGTTCATCTTAGCTGGCTTGGTTTTTTTGAAGTCTACCATTTAGATTACCAAAAATCAGCACTTGGCTCATCAGTATACACGGCTGCTTTGGACATGTGCAAAACCCTTATTGCGAGCAGTGCGGACCGTCATCGAAGACGACATGCATTTTTCATGCATGGAGCGATATTTGCCATTTGTCTGCCAAAGTAATAAAATACCTCCGACGCAACCTAAATTAGCAGTCGCCACAGTTGAGGCACAACAGGCTATATATGTATGTATAGGGCGTTTTCTTGTGAAGTTATGGCATTAAGAGGGCGAACCTCTAAAAATCGAACAAGTTGCATTTATTTGCTATTTGCCGACTACACTAAACTTAGGTACGAACTTCTTAGTAGGACAATAAATATGGCTGGGTTGGTTTAACATCAGATCAAAATAAACAGTGGATGATATCATGTGGGCAGCAACGGAGGTCGAGCTTATTGCTCAAACTGCCTCCCGACGAAATACTTGACGGTGGTAAAGGGCGTGAGGTTTAGTGGATTAAAGTCTCACACTAACCTTTTTGGGGTTGAGGCTTGCGATGCTTCCTCCTCTGAAATAAAAAGGTCGAAAAGCAACGACCAGATAGCTCAGCTAATTTCTGCCTAGCCAGAAGCAGTGTTAAAAATACATATATACAGAGATAAATATGACTTAAAGAAATTAGAAGATTGATGACCAACAATTTTTGTTGCACTAGTTCCACTAAAAAATAAAATATTTCCAGCAATTAGAAATGCAACGTCGAAATATTTCTTTCTGTCAAAGAATATCGGCTAACCTTAACGTTTATTTATGTCATCAGTTTATTGTCAAGTCTGTTGCTTATTTATTTATACCTACCTTAAACATTCCTTTCATGTTGCAATAGAGCGTTTAACAATCACCAGAATGAAAAACTTGTATTTACACGGCAGGCCACGGCGTATACGCAATTCGAAGAAATTTTATTGTCGGTCAGCCTATTAACATTTCAAAAATGCGTTGACAGCTTGACTTTTAACTAGTTAAAATGAAACAATAAATACAGGGTGTCAAGTATAGAACTCGCAAATTAAGTACTATATCTATGAATGTATTTTCGATTTAAAAACTATATGTTTTGAATTGCGGACGATCGCTAACTTTGTTGAGAAGCATTGTTATTATTATTATTATTATTATTATTTATTATAATTGATCATATATACCGCGATATTGTAAGTAGAGTAGCACATCCGTGGGTTTTTTGTTTCATATTTCGAATGCATTAAGTGCTATACCAACTACGTGAGCGAGTCTGCGGCTAGCGAGAGCAACACATTCATAGAGAATGTGTTCTGACGTTTCCTCATCCAGCTCGTAGAAACGATAGACGCTTTTGTCTGAAATATTTTATATTTTACTGAGGTATTAATGCATGGAGCAATGTAACGTGAAGTACCCACTGAGAGTTCGAAGGTCCTTCCGGCCTAAATTTATAAGCTCTTTTGGAGCTTCTTTTTATGGGCACATAAAGCGCTCAGTTTGTCTTCGCGCTGCACATTCACTCTAGCCAAGTGGAATTTTTTGCCCACGCACTTGTTTATGACCTCTCTTGTGGGTGCTTTAGAGGCACCATAAAAGTATTCAGGGCCATGTAATACTATACCATCATAGCCCTTATGCCTCATACTGTTTCCTTGGTTCCAAGAGCTTTTAGGATTTTGAAGTAGTCGCTTACCAGTTTTGATATTATTATGAGGGACTTAAGCGCTACCAAAGTAGCCTGACTGACCAACATAATGCACAAGTTTTTGGAATGTAAGTATGCCTATTGTTTTACATGAATCTCTGATTGGAAAATGCTGGGATAGTTGCTCATTTGTTTAAAATTCGGTGAAGATGTACCAACTATAGTTTTTCCATCTTCAAATTTTGATCAATCAGTGCACCAATCATCGCCGCACAACTTCTTAAAAAAGTCCTTGATATCAAATGAACAGTGATAGGCAACGAAATGGTTGTGAGAGTATTTTTTTCTGTATTCTGTTGTTAGTGCAGCGGTAGAATGGAAACTACTGGTTATTTAAGGTGGATCTTAGAGGTCTATCGGGGTAACATGTTTTGAGCCAAAGGATGAGGGTTGTCTGCTGAGCTGCAAATCCTTTTCATAAAATAATCTAATTGAAGGATAGCAGGGTACATGTCAAAGGATGTTTGGGCAGGTTTGTGCCTTCGTTTGGTATACATATGTACCCTTGACTTCCACTTTTAACATTCTTACCGCGCGATCGGTAGTACTGCGATAGACGCTTCCCTTTATTATTAATCATGGAAATAAATATGAGTTAAAACCAAGTCTGTACGGAAGAGATTAGTTCGGCACATTGTGCAAACTGTGAGTTACTTATCGTTTGCCTTTTAGAACATTGGAGAAGCCGATTCAAGCACCTGTGCCCTTCACCTTCCGCCGAGTCTAAGTCCAAACCCTTTTGGGCTCTAAAACTGACGATATATTGATCCCGGACTTGATCAGTACGTCCCCTATATTTCACTTTAAACAAACTATCTGAAGCTGTGTCATTTATACAGTGCTGGAGATGTAGGAATGGGTGACTTCTCTTTGTCTGTTCAAGCTCCTAAATATAGCCATATGCAAAAGGTTCTATTTTTATGTAAATGTGCCTCCATCTGGAACTTATGAAGATAGTAAATACAACTTAATCTAACCCGGTGTGTATATGTCATTCGTTGAGGAAGTTTAATGTCCCGAAACGACGCTACCTTTCCAAGGCTCTAGGCCTCTCAAAACCATATCTTAACACTTACTTGAAGGTGTCTCTGAGGCTGATATATGATCTGTACCTGGCTTGTGTCATTGACAGTGAATCAATGATATATGTCTAGCTGACTGAAACTAAGTATATTATAGTTTATACATACATAGATTTTTCGCAATAACTTAAAATTCGACGAAAGTGAGCGCTTGCCTGTAGGCAGTAAAATCTTGGAGACTAGCCTGCGGGTAGCTGGAACAAAGTCAGTCTTTTCGCTGGGGCTGTTCTCCATTCCTTATGTCTGATAGAGCTACATAGTTTTCTTGCTTTGGTTCAAACGCTGCCTAATATCAGCCAAGAACTTGGCTAACAGCTTTGACTGGTTCTTTGGTCCCGATAAAGTTTCGAAATTGACTAATGACGCTGTCATTAATTGAAAAAAAAACCCGAGAAATCAAAGTAGCTGGGTATAATCACCGCCTTTGAATGCTCAGCTTTGTCCATGGTTTCCAAGGTATAGGAGTCCCGATGAGACAAAAAAGAGTTCTTATCCAACTACAAGAGGAAGGACTAAGTGCTATAAGTCTAAAACGCGTGCTGTGGTCCATGGTCATTTTCAAAATCCTATATTAAGTGTCTGCGCCTATTGGAGATATGATACAACTGCAGATAAAAATAACATTTGCAGACTATTTAATGCATTTATTTTGCTATCACTACAAAGAGCAAACTACAGAGTGAAAACAGAATTATAATATAGTGCGATGATAATTTGTTTTTAAACGTTTTGCAGATTACTTCATAATTTGGGAAAATTCTGAAAAAAGTTTGAGTGCCCATTTTTCAATTCCAGTTTACTCATTATGCCAATTATCACCAAAGATAATATTCTCCAATCTCATTTTGCGATCTACCCAATATTTCTTATGCAGAATTTCCAACAACAATATGAAGAGTACCAAAAAGTAAGTACACAACAACAGCATAAAGAGTGGTGCCATATATTCCATGCCAACTTCAACTATGAAATTGCTATCGAAACACTCCAGTGACGATTGAACCCAATAGCGATGCAACTTTAGGGAAACGCCAGTCTCCAAGATGCGAAAAATTCTGAAGAAGAAGAATTTTTATTTGAGTAAAAATTCGGTTTTGTGTTGAAAGCTTTAATCACTTCACAAACTTAAATCATTTACCTTTGTTTGGTCAACTCCTTGAAGCTTGAGTTCTTATGTACCGCACTAAACAAACTTTTCTCCGGACGAAATAGTATCTCATTCAAATCGCAGATTTCATATGGCTTGTAGTAGCGTTTGACCAGCAAATAGCCGGTTGAGGCCTCAAATCCGAAAACAAAGCCAGGTTGATCGCGTACGCGCAGTATTCCGTCCTTCAAGGGCATCCAAATGGCCTGCGGATTGGGTGCGGAGTCGATTTTGCGTTTGAAGCGCCGTACTTCTGGTAGCGGAGAATTCTAAAGGGATAAAACAAAATAGTTTTAGAACTTATTGATAACCATCGCTATCCCTCACATTCAAATAGGTTAGCGTGAATGGCAAAGGGTCGAGTCCCACTTCTAGTGGACTATCTGCCAGCTGGCCCATTGTTTTGATATCAGACTTCACCGGCGAGCCAAGCAACGACGAAACAACAATGGACGTATAATAGTTGTACATTAGAAAAGTTAGTAGATACAATGTTAAGAAAACTATGCGTCCACCAATGGAACCGGGCACCATCTCGCTCCCCTGAGCGCAGGCCGAACCAAAGGAAATGAGGAATGTAGCCAAAATCGAGGGCATATAGTCGACATAACGCTGGTGCATGCGCTTCCGTTCCAGTCGGAAAATGCTCCAAAGTACAACAGCTGTCAAAAGCAGCAACAACCCGAAGAGTAGCCAGACGGTGGTGTTGAAGGGTTTCAAGAACACATCGCCTTGTATACCGGAGTTGCGGGGCGTACGAAAGAGGCAGATCGAACGAAATGATGAAGTCTCCGCGATAATGGTAAAGAACTCCATGCGAGGTGGTGTGGGAATGAATGGTGTGGAAATAAGATCGGCGCTCTGTACAGCCAAAGCGCCGATTAGACCGCCATGTGTTTCATTGATTGTCCAGCGATTGGTGAAAGTGTGATTCGACCTAGAGGGTATAGTACAGGTTAAGAAAAAATAATAAAGATAAAACTAAAAAATACCTAAAAGAAATAAAATATTTAAATACCTTTCTTTTGATACCCATACTGTCACACATATCGCTACCTAAAGACGAAATGGTGCCAAGTCCAATTTTTTTCAAAACTTAGTTTTTGATGCAGAACGACAGATAATGCGAAACTACACCGATTCTCCGCGTCTCCTGAACAATTACAAAAAAATGGAGTTGGCACCTTTTCACGATATGTAGCTTATCTTATCAATTTAATTGAGCTAAATTCTTCAAACAAGTGTCAACACGCCTCAAAAATAGATTCGACAGCAACCATTTTTAAACCTCTTTAATCTGACACCCATATTGTAACATTTCATTCCTTTTACCAATCTAATTGAATTGAATTTTTCTAACCTTTTTTTTTGATACCCATATAGTAATATTTAATTTATCCTATCCATTAAATAAAATTGAAATTTTCAAAAAGGTGAGAACTCCCCACAAAAGTATTTTCGGTGGTAGGCATTTTTAAATTTATTTCTTTTGACACCTCTATTAAAATATTTACTTTATCTTATCAATTTATTTAAACTGAAAATTTCAAAAAGGTGGCAACTCTTTAATTTTTTTCCTTTTAAACCATCCGGGTATTATAACAAACAAATAAAAAAAAAAATGTTTTAAAATCGGTCAAAGCCGTTTTCAGGTTTTAAGCATCCGAACAAGCCACGATCCATTTTTAATACACATATCTATAAAATATATATGCACATATATGTATTTAGAATAGATAAAATAATTAAAATAAAATTACTTGCAACCCAAGAAGTCAACTAAAATGGATAACACCTGGTAACCAAAGCGTGGTATAGCATCTTTACTGGTGTCATTGACGGAACGTAGAAAAGTGAATATTTCCTCGGGTGTAGCGGTTAAAGGCACTTTGGTGACCTTAAAAGATTAAAACATTTAACTTCTTCACAAACTTTCGCCAACTCCCCTTTCATCTCTGACCACACGCACCACAACAGTCAAACGCAAAGTGATGTCATGCAGCTGATTCCTATTACCATATTTGCTGCGTAAATGTAGCTTTGAAAGATATCTATTTACTTCACAGCTCTTCTCAGTGCAATAAAGTTCACGATCCAATGTCATATTCAATTTACCGCCATAATAGTAGCCATTATTGTAGACATCGTACAGTGTAAAGGCGCTAAAACTGGAGCTATTCGAGGCACTTTCTATGCTATTCAAGTTGGCATAGGTTAATTCGGCATCAACAGCGAGATTTATGTGCGTAAAGAGGGCCCGAAAGTATGTTACATTGGCCATGTTATCATAGATTAACCAGAAGAAATGATCGTTGAAGAGTCGCTCTCTGCTAGCCTGTGTTCAGAAGTATCGAAAAAAATAAAAATTCAAGCCAATATTACCAATGTATGACTATGCATTTCTTAAAATTATATAATTTTCACTTAATTCAGTACGCACAATATCCAAGAGCGATTCACTGCTCTCGCAATTTAGATCCATGAAAATTCCCATTGTCGGCTTCTTACCCCATAAACGATAATGTATGCCTTGAATGGCTTGAGAATTGTTGATATTAATAGCCTCGATGTAAAATGCGTTATCAGTTGCCATTTTATAGAAAACCATTTGAGCTGCAAATAAATATGGAGGAAATTAGCAATAAAATTTAAAACTGATTAGTCACTAACAAAAGCTCAAAGGATAACGAATTACGGGTTTGATGTTTGGAGCTACAAAGGATCGAAATCATTGTAGACAATATTCAAGGCGGACGGACCTCAACTTCTTTACTAAATAGACCAAAAGCTCGTCTTAGGCCATATGCGTTCTTAAAAACGGTGATACATAGGACCGATTTCCAAAAGGTGGCAGAAGTAACTTGTTTGCCAACTGACGTGTTTCCGGGATACCGATCGTCTCCGGCAGTCTCATTGTTTTTAAGCCGCCTTATTGCTATTCTCAGCACGTCTTGGTGGAGTGGCGAGCGTGAGCTTCGTCTATATACACTGGTTTGGGTGCTTCTCTATCAAAATCGTCACCTGTATGGCCATTCAAATGAACTGAGAAGTATTTCCTTCATATCTCAAGTGTACTCTGGACCCCTGTTATCCGATTTCCGGCTTCGGTTCTATTTGATTGCTGTCTTATTTGCTGACAGAATTTTCGAGCCGCATTCCTGTCTGCCAGCATCTCAAGCTTTTCGCATTCAAGTTTCTATGCCTCTCATTTCTTCTTCTTGAATAAACGTCACTTACATACGTCAAACAATACGTCAAACATAACTTTACGAAGATAAGTATTCCATTGCGGCTGCATTGTTTGTGGCATGAGTTACTACTCTTCATTAAAAATGCATCTATTAAGAACCCTTCTTACGTACAAATATCTTTTAGGTCGCAGTGACTTTACATTTTCAGTCCAATCATACACTCCGAAACGTAAAATTCTTGTAACATCTAGCTCGTTAAAATGAAATTAACAGGCAGACAAAAAGGGAGACCTATAAAACCTGTAGGTGAATGATTCCAAAAACTTCCTTGTCATATCTCGACATCTCTCTGTAGAAGCAGTAAATTTTTAGGGGTGTGTCTGGGTAGTGATCTCGGACTTTTGTCTATACCACTATTCGTTCGCTCCACTGAACTGATATTTCTATCGCATAAATCGTCCGAACTCCATCGTACACCGATAAATGCATGCCTCGTTTTCCACACCCACAAGAGATCTGTAGACTTCAGCACTTTCAGCGGGTGCATCGACTTGACGGCTAGAGCCTGTATATTTTCAAGGATACGAAATTGATCACTGACACCATTAGTATTTTCCCGGAAGCTTTCAGGCTAACAGAGGCCCCACACTGGTGCACAGAGGCAAATTCTGCCTTAGTTAATATAAATTCTAGGCAGTCAATATATGTATTTCAAACGTGGCAGGGTAGGACAGTCTAAAGAAGAGGCTATCAAAATTACCAAAAAGATTTCGGCGACCACAGGGAAGTTAAAACAAGAGCCCGCTGAAGGGCAATAATGCCGCGACGAAGTCACAAAAATCCAGAACTGCTAATATGGAGCTGGCAAAAACCACCTTTAGCCCGGTGCTAAGTGGTGTAAAGCTGGGTTTTGTTCTGCTGGGTTAACTCTGTCAACAAACCATTACCAGCGAGGCCAGTGGCACTGCTACAGGAGACCATAAAATAAATCGCGATTGAGAGCTCAGAAGCCGACGTACAACCGGAATTGTAAATGTGCGTCCCCCAAGCCGGTTGGCCTCTTGCTTGAACTATAAAACGGGGACGTGGCTAAAAACAAATTCCAAAAGTATTAAGACCAAGTATGATCCAGATCACCGCCTTCGTAGCTGAGTGGTTAGAGGTGCGTACTTCCACTCGGTCGGACAAAGAATCGATCGCTAGTCAGAGGAACGTGCAAAAAAGTTGTTTTCAATAGCGCTTGCCTCTCGGCAGGCGATGCCAAACCACCGAGTATAAGTCTGCCATGAAAAAGCTTCTCATAAAAACACCATTTGCCATATCGAGGCGTCGTAAAAATGAAGATCGTTCACTGTTGTTGCTTTACAATTTCGCTTACTTTCAATATCCCAGCAGTTGAAAGATACCAACACCTTCATATTAATTTGTAAAAAATAATAAATAATAAAATTTATGAGTGTAAGATCCATAGTTATTTCTTTTAAATTTTAATAAAAATTCACCAGAAATTAAACTTAGAATATTTCCACAATTAATCCGGCATGTCTTTTTATATCAAAAAATGCTTTGTTGTAGGTATAACATTTCTTCTTACAGTATAATTATCGTGTTGAGCTGTCATTGACTAATGAACTGTCATAATAATCATATGAATTTTTGAATAAGCAGACATTTGTTGACAACATAATTACGATTTAAAAGAGGTTAGTGAGTGCATTATTTAGAGCACAACATTAACTGGTTTAATAAATGACTGACATCGGACCATAGAGATGTACATACGTAGGTACTTAAGTATGTACATAAGTTTGTATTACAAAGTCACTGAGTTTGTCTGCCAACAAAGTCCCTACTAAAGAATGCACCTCAGTATGCGCATAGAGCCAGATGAAAAGCTGTAAGCTCCAACGAACAAAAAAGCTATTTGAAAATTGAACCCCAGCTGTCCAATATATACCAATGGTATCAGTAAGCTCGGGCTCCATTGCGCCAGTTTGACACTTCAGAGGATACACATAAAATTATTGGGAACCACTTCTTCCAGTACATACATATCTTTACCATCAAGGAGATAAGAAAGTTGAAAAAGTTAAGAGTGAAGAAAAATGTGTAGACCAAAAGAGAGCAACATAAAATCAGAACATTGAGAACCATTTCGTGGGATCCAAATGGGGCCTGAAATCGACTAGCTACAGTACACTCAAGTTGTGTTTGGATTCCCTGGCAAAAGCACATTGCTTGGAACTGCACAGCTACCGAGCATACGAGGATGGGAACCAATTTACTGACAGTCAGCTGTGCGCATAGAACGGGTATAGCACTTTCCTGTCGCAAACAAAAATTTTGACCAATCTTCACTGCAGTATCGAAAGGTAAGTGGACATGTTGAGTTATAAAGCAGATTTGACTCAGAGTCTAAAGAAATATTTAGCCATCTGCCATTCCTTCAAGCTCTGTTATGTGTTAGTATCAATGTTTTACGGATCCCTGCTATTTATCCCAGAGGCGTAGATTGGCACACGGACTGTTCACGGATGGAGGACAGAGCAGGCGCAGGTTTCTATGAGTGGGACAACACACTCGCAAATCCCATAGGCCGATGGCGGAGAATCGATATGTCGGCCCTACCCAGAGGTCGAGGAAACCACCGACCACATTCTATGTGACTGTTCGGTCTTGGTTAGACAAATAATAATATATATCTAAGAGCCAATGGTCAACTCCTTAATATATTAATAAATTCGACTACCAAAACTCTACTCGCATTCATTACACTATTTGGCAGTCGGATGCGGAACTGTTGAAACCAAGTTTGTCTGAAATTCTGGATCGCATATAGAAAAATGGTTTCTCAGTTTTCCCAGGTTGGCGATTTTTAGTTGTTGAGAAACATTGTTTATACTTTTCCTTAATTTTCCGTCCATGGTTTTTACATTAAAGCGCACCCTAGCGGCCGTTTTTTGATAAAAGTAAATTGCAAACATAGATTCTTCGGACCCGAATACCGCCATAAAGGTCTTTTGAATGTACACTGCCGGAACAAAGTATTGGAACAGCAAATTTTTCACAATATATGCAACAATTTTTATTCTAATATTTTTCCGCAAATTTTGTATAAAAATATGGTTCATTCTACAACAAAAAACATAAAAATATAGTTCCTGAACTTTGTGCAAAACTCGCGAAAATTCAGCAAATTCTTTTCATGCAAATTTTCAACTTTTTAATCAGATAGAAAGTCGGGGTTAGTCAAAAATACGCTTAAAATCGCCAAACTAGTAAAACTGAGAAATTACTTTTCTATTTACAATCTAGAGTTTCAGAAAAACTGGATTTCATCAATTCTCCAGAGAAAAACCTGAAAATGTCGCTCCGAGCCGAGGGTGTCTTGGGCATACTTGGCTAGAGACAATCTTTAGAGGTACAAAAGAGCTTTCAGGTCATCAAAGCATATGGATTATTTTCGACTACTGTGCCTGAATTCTAAATTCTATTTTATCCTGTATTTAATAATAAAGTCGCGTGCACATACATTTATTCTAAAATGGCATTATACTATGCCTAGGCGTGCTGTCAATGGCTTCTCAAATCCCTTCTTGGGTGCATTTGTTGGCTTTTATTACTTTTACTTGTGTTGTCTTTCATTTCTTGACATTGCGTTACATTTGTTGAGCTTTGTGCTAAGTTCTGCTCAATGAATTTGTCAGCTAATCGCGGCATTTATTATGTTGTCAACTGTTGACAATTTTATTGTGAAAAAAACATAACAAGAAATAAGAATAATAAAATAGTAAGGGAACTATAATGCGACTAAAATGCACAATTTTGTCCACACACATACACACACAAACAAAGACTCAGCAACAGCATTGCACTCTACGCTGACAAACGACTGTCGTTGAAAGGTTAAAAATTGCATTAACTGTTAACACACAAACTCCTTTCGAAGTGACGTGCATATACATACATACATAGTAAATGTGGCATTTGCGGTCGTACTGGCATTTTTTGTGATAGACATATACATACATACATTTAACACACACACACACTCTCGTGCCGCCTGCCAGCAACAAGTATCCCTTCATACAGCACGTGGCCTCAGTTATCGCTCGTTTCGGTTAATTTGACTTGTTTCCTTTTTAGCTGCGCCTGCGCCGATATTCAGCTCGTGTTTTTGTTGATGTCAGCAATGCAGCGTTGGTACAACTAGTTTTATGAATGAACTGTTGCCGACACACGCAAAAAAAAAAAAACAAAAAAATACCTGTGGTTTTGCCTTTCCT